TTATATATTACCTTGTAGAATCCCCCTTTTTATTCCCAGTTTAGCCATTATTTCTAGGTCTTCTAGTCATATGACTTCTTTTCATTTTTTTATTTTTTTTGCTCTCTATATCCCCTTCTTTTCTGGTCTCCCTGGTCTCCCCTTATTCCTCTTTTCCTTTATTTTTTATTTTTTTATTTTTCCCCTCCATTTCTGACTCCATTTTTTATCCCCCTCCCTCTTTTGAGCTTTCTTCTGTATTTCCCCTTTCTGCTGTTTCTTTTTCCTTCATCTGACTTTCCTAACCATTACCTCTTTAATTGTCCCCTCAGACCTCCAATTTTTAATTTCCATGTGTCGTTCCCCCCCCCCTTTCAATATTCGCTGTGTCATTTGTTTATTAAAGCTGGCCTCTTCTTTAATCAACTCCTCTTCTGGTTCTCCTTGCCCGTCTTTGTTCTCCAATGATGCCTTTCTAGCATTTGCACAGCAATACTGCACAATTCCATTTTTTCCCATATCATTTCCCTTATCCTTCTTAAATCTGATTTTATTTGCAAACAGTATTCTGCCATTTTTGTGCACCTCTTTTTTTAAATTTTTCTTTTACCTCTTTTTTCAGTGTTTAAATCCAGTTCAGTTCTCCAGTAGTTAGTTTAATCCAGCTTCAAACCATCCACTTCTGTTAAGTCTTATTTAAGTTTCCAGGGTCAAAATAGTCAAATGTTCTTAAGTTTTGTTGTTAGATTCCTTCTGTTCAGTTTTAAATTTTCCTCAAAGTCATCTAGTATTCCCAGTTCCCAGACTTCTTTCTTCTTCTTTCGTAGTATAGTAAATTTACTTTTTAGGGTTTCTGTCTTACTGTTTCAAAGATCTTCTTACTTTGTATCAAGTTCCAATCTTTATAGAACCAAACACTTAAAAAAAGTTATTGAAAGTTTTCCTTTACCATTAGATGGTGCTCTCTGTTATGTCCAAGTTCCACCTTTTCTTTCCACTTTCCTTTCCTTTTTAGAGCTTTTAAATTAAAAAAAAAACAGTAAATCCAATTAGTATATTTTTTCCTTTTGGCACATCCAAGTTCAGCTTTTAAGTATGCCTATTTAGTGCCAATTGTATAATTTAGTATCATCCAATTTACACAGATGTTTCCCTCTTTCGATTTACTTCTTTTACTGTTCAAAGCACTTTCACTTATTTCCTATTTTTTCCCACTCCCTCTGGTCGCCACTGTTCCAATCTTCTTTTTTTTAAGTCTCTTTAAATTTTTAAATCCGGGATAGCTTATACTCAGATATTGTGCTTAATTTGTCTGGTCTCCACTCTGTCTGCTTCTTCACCACTCCTGCACGATCTTTGTCCCGGGTAGCTCTCCTTCGGGGGGGGTCATATTTAACCACCATTGCAGCCTGTCTTTGGGGGGAATTTACTTAGCCGAGGAAGGGAGATGTGGTTTCCCTCAGCCTGACAGGCGGTCTCCCCCTTCTTCCCCACCCCTCCAAGGCAGTTCTAGCTCTGTTCGGAGCCCTCTAACAGGTACAACACGGATCAAAGCCACACATAGTCGCAGTCTTCAGTCCGTCCTAGAAGGAAACGCAACTGGAAGTCCTATGCCATGCTTTCTGAGAATCATTTGTGTGTTTTTATCTGTATATTCAGTTCTATTTTTGTGCACAAGACACTTGGCATTTTGCCAGATTTGTTACTTGAGCTAAATACTGTTCAAGTTTCTCTGATACTGCACTTTTGTTGTGTAACAGATATAGTGTGGTATACCTTGAGTAATCATGTATAATTGTGAAAAAATACCTCTTCTTTTCTGGAATCAATTTTTCCGTTGGACTGCAAAGATCTGAATACATTAAGTCCACAAGTTTTTTAGTTCTACTGTTACTATGTTTCGAAAAGTTTTTTTGTTGTTTTTCCATTTATACAGCTGGTGCATTTCATTGTTTGATCACATAGACTAACTTTTATCCCATTTGCATATCATTCCACAGGATTTCTGTGTCGACATCTGTGCCATGTGTGAAAGCAGTTTGAATGTTTTTCCTCCTTGGCAGTATTAAGCATCTCATTGCAGTTCAGTTGATACAGTTCATCTGTAATTGTAGCTTTTGCAACTAAGATATCCCTTTTTTGATGGCACAACTGTCCCCTTGGATGGTCATTATATCAGGGGTGGGTTTCTACTGGTTCTGTCCACCTCTGTAGAACCGGTAGCTCTGAAGAGCAGCAGACATAGAACCGGTTCTATGTCTGCTGATGTTTTTGCCCACCCACCCGCCTGGGCTCTTACCTGACCTTTATTTCCTGCGTTTTCAACTTCAGCTGCCATGTGAGGCACAGCTGCAGTTAAAAAAGCAGGAAAAAAGTACTCTTTCAAAGGCTGCTTCTCAGCACGCAGCGCTGCTCAGCTGTCCAGGCACCAGGCTGATGACGATTTACAGGTGCATGCGCAGCATGCAGGGAAGCATATCGTAAATCACCAAACCTCGGAAATCACCGAACCGGTAATTAACCCTGTCGGATCCCACCCCTGCACTACATTGCCTTGTTTTGTGAGCTTTTTCACTGACAAAAGATTAGTTTCAAGAGCAGGAACATACAGGACATTTTTCACAGGTATTTTTCTGGTGACACTCTGAGAAATAGGACAGTAAAAAAAAACATCTCCTATTTATTCTGATTCCATCATTTGCCCATTAGCTGTGGTGATTTTTTCTGTTTTACTCTGGTCACTATGAATAAAGAGATTTCTGTTATTTGTCAGGTGATTCATAGTTCCTGAATCAATACATCATGCCTACAAAGATGACATTTCTTTAGCAGTTTCACATGTATATGTATGATTTGGTCATCTTCTAGGCTAAGAGAGATTGTGCTCTGACCTTTCTGATCTTTCTCTATTCACTCATCTGAAGGGTGTTTTGACCTAACTTCATTTATACATTTCTACGTATATACTCTTATAAGCAGCACCTTCATCTTGAATTTCCCAAACTGGTACTTCTGGTTTGTCAGATTTTCAAATGAAAGCTTTGTTGCAGCTGTGTTACTGGTCATTTCCTTTGGTTCTGCTGCAGTCATCTTGCACTTATTTGCTGTAGCCAGCTATGATTGGGCCCATAACCTGTAGAAATCCTGTATATAGCCCTACAGAACAAACAGTGCACAGTCCAAATGTGCTTTTCTGTTTAACTGTGACACTGCCATTCATCTACTGGTTAAAGAATATATATCTTTATTGAATAGTTGTAGAAAACATGTGAACACTGTATTCCAACAGTCCGACGTTTGTTCGTATGACCATGAGGATGCTGCAACAGTCATAAGTATGAAAAATGTCATTGTGAGATGAAGCTTATATCTTGCCAGAAGCCCTTCTTATAGGTAGAGATGACCATGGTACAGGAATCCATTTTTTTTCTTAATGGTGGGTAGATGAGCTGTTATCATTGATGATGTGTTGGGCCATTGTATATCCTTGAGTACCAGGTGTGTGTGGGGTTAAGTGTGTTATAATTCTGTAAGCCGGTCAGAGTTATTGATACCATTCTTTGAGCCAACTGTTCACCTCCAGAATCCTTTGTTCCTTCTTTGGTACATCATTAGCCATTGGAATTGAAATATCTCCTATGCTCCAACTCTTATTAGTTCCTATCTGGCTCCTTATAGTTTCTTGATATTCTTACCAAGATTTGTTCTGCAGTCTTGACAAGGAGATCAATATTGCTAATTAATTATTGGAACATTTTTTGTCACACTGTATTTATGCTACAGGAGCTTTTACTATATGGAGGATAGCATTCTCATCTATATATTCAAAGAACTTGCATATGTCTGAGCAATTATATTTAAAATACAGGTAGTTCTTGACCATTTGTTTAGAAATGGTTTACCATCAGTTTAAGGCAATGATGGTAGTGAATAAAGGAACCTATGACTGGTTGCTGAAGTTACAGCCATTACAGCATCCCTGCAGTCATATGTTCATAATCTGGGCACTTTGCAACTCATTCATACTTAGGACCAGTTCCTAAGCACCCACAATCACATGAACACCATTCACAAACTTCCCTGTCAGTTTTCCCAGAAAGTCAATGGGGAAACTGGCAGGGAAAGTCACAAGTCACTGGAGTTAGTCTCCCTGACCCACATACTCTTCCCAGCCCTTCTGCATAGTATCATACTAGTCACTCACATGCCCATGCACATTTATGGGCACCTTTCCCAACCTACATGGAACTTCTTGTGCATCCCTATGTACCCTCTCCAACCCATGTGGTTCTTCTCACATATCCCTGCACACTGTCCCTGCCCCCCCGCACCTCTTGCATACCCTTATGTACTTCCTCACATCCTCCTTACACCACACACTCTTCCCAACCACTGCATCCCAGTGCACCTTCCCAACCTGCCCAGCACCTCTTACACACCTCCTTACACCTTCAGTCATCATCCCCAATCCTCCCCCTCTGCGCACTTCTTCCTTCCTCACCCTGCAGCAACCCCTTATCTGCCAGCCTGGACTTCCTGCTGTCTTTCCCACTCACTTTGCTTGTGAGAATCAATAGAAAGTTGCCTAACAAGTGTGGAATTCTATTAATAACAACTTGGACTGCAGGGATTCCCATTGCTAAGCAAACTGGTGGTGCTTTATAACTTACAACTTCCCTTAGTAATGGAAAGTCCTGTCCTAATTGTCCTCATAAGTTGAGAACTCACTGTAAGCATATAACCTTTGTGTGACATTTTGATGGCCAAGCTTTTATGGAAGCATGAGGAACAAACGTCGTTAATCCAACAGTATAAAATTTATGGTCAATACCCGGACATGGATTGATTTTCAAAATGGTACTAAACTTTGAAAGGTGTTCTTCGCCTATTTTTAATACAACATTTTTAAAAATAATAATCCTTCCTCATCCTTAAAAAATAAAAATGTAGGACGCTACACATATACTTAATATGTATATTGGCAAAGTCAACTAAGTACATGCGTGGTCATTTTTTTCCAGATGTAGAAATGCTTCAGTCAGATGCTAATAATCCTCTTTCACGGACAACCAAGGACTATATGATGCGCAGATTCTTAGAAGGTGAGCAACATAGCAAACTTAACTGAAAGGCAAGATTACAATTGGAAACAATTGGTTTGCATGTTATTCTTTGGCAAGTATCTATCAGCACCCTCACAATCTATGATTGCAATATTATCTTGTTGTATTGCAATCTCAAGATGATAATGCTGATGGCAGTCTTAGTAAAAAGTTCTCTTGTAATTTTGATGTTTTCTATTATTTTCTGTGACTCTGAAAATTTATACTCAAAAGATAAAATTTTGAATATCAGACAGTGGATCTTAAATAAGAAGCAGCTTTCTGGGACTAACCATCCCTTCTTTTCAAATGTGGAGGAAATTCTGACTTAGGGAACAGCAGTTATCTCTTTTGGCCCAGCAGAAACAAAGAAGAGAAACAAAAGGAGAAGGAGGGACAAGAGAGAAGACATATTACAAAGACTCAGGGAGCACGGGGGTAAGGAAATATCTCCTCCCCTCTCTGCATTCTCTCGTAAATAAAATAAATGAACTGCTACTTTTACAGAGGAACAATTCAGACTTTTCTAACTTGGTAGCTTTCTGCTTCATTGAAACATGGCTGAACAATTCGATTAATGATAGCTGTTTGCAAATCCCAGGATTTCAGATTCAAAGAGCAGATAAGAATTGTAGAGGGACTTCCGGTTGTACTTCTAGTGCTATTAGAAGTGAGGACCGTGAGCTCCATGGCCCCGTTTTGAGCTCGCCCTGTCGGGTTCCAATTGGAGCCATAGCCATCCGGAGGGGTGGTGAAGTAAAGGGGGATTGCCTGGCAGGTCGAGGAGAGCTGCGTCTCTCCTCCCTGACCTGGAAAACCCCTTCATCTGAAGACAAGGTACAGTGGCAACCAACATGGCTGCCATGAAGCTGGGGACAGTTTGGGAACCCAAGACAGTGCAGGAACGAAGAGACAGTGAATGGTGTGTGAACTGAGTGAGAGAATACTTTTGAACTGTTAAATGTAACCCTGACAAGAAGACTCAGAAAAGAGGACTCACAATTATTCTTAGTGTGGCAGCGACCTAACACTGTAGTAGAATTTTAAGGAAGTAAAGGAAGAAAATCGTAAATCTGTTAAAAATAAAGAAAATTGCATCTTTGATTAGATAGACATCGGCTTTGAATAGGATTTTTTTCTATTCTAGTACAGAAGTCCCCAGGGCTGTATGCTCTCTCCATTGCTCTATTTACCAATGACTACATCTCAAAGGATCCCTGTTAAAGTACTGAAGTTTACAGATGATACAACACTCATTAGAGATAATGAATCTACATATAGATGGATCAACTGCACCTGTAGTGAAGCCAGAACAACCTGAAGATGAACACTCTTGAAACTGAAGAGATGATAATAGAGTTTTGAAGAAGCTCTCCTATTCTACTACTTACAATATTAAGCAACACAGTATCAACAGTAGAGACCTTCGGGTTTCTAGGTTCTATTATCTCCAAGGTGAAATTGACACCTTAGAACCACCATTAAAAAAGTACAAGAAAGAATGTGTCAATTCAGAAAGCTCCAATTGTCCAAGGATCTACTGATATAGTTCTACAGTCTGTCATTTGTGCCTTTATCTGTCTGGTTTGGCACAGCAGCCAAACAAGACAAGTACAAACTTCAACGCATAGTTAGAATTGCAGAAAAAACAATTTCAATCAACCTACCTTCCATTGAGGACCTGTAGACTGCACGAACCATAAACAGGACTGAGAAAATATCTACTGACCCCTCTCATCCTGGACATAAACTGTTTCAGCTTCTCTCCTCTGGATGCTGCTACACAGCATTGCATGTCAAAACAATTAGACACAAAGATAGTCCCATCCCCCTACATGCCATCACTTTGTTGAATACTAATTTCCACAGCACTCTCTTAAGCCTAAATATATCAATATGGCCTTGTAGTAGGCCATATTGATACCATCCTACTCCTCTTTCCTAATACATTCTCCTATTTGTACCTAGGATTTATCCTTTGTTGTTATATATTGTGATTAATAATTGTATCTATGATATATGATAGATCTGCACCAGTGGTGGGATTCAGTTTTTTTTACTATGGGCTCTGTGGACGTGGCTTGGTGGGCATGGCAGGGGAAGAATACTGTAAAATCTCCATTCCCACCCCACTTCAGGGGAAGGTTACTGCAAAATCCCATTCCCTCTCCACCCCACTAACCTGCTTTCCAACTCCATTCTCCTGTGCAGGGCAACAAAAGAAGACCCAGCCAATCCACTGGGACACAGGAGGCACAGAATAGATGGGGGTGGGGCCAGTCAGAGGTGGTATTTGCTCAAAATTTCTGCTACTGGTTCTCCAGAACTGGTCAGAACCTGCTGAATACCACCTCTTATCTGCATTGTGAGCATATGCACCGGAGACAAATACCTTGTGTGTCGAATCACATTTGGCCAATAAAGAATTCTGTTCTGTTCTACTCTACGCGACTCTACTCTAAAAGACTCTATGCGACTCTATTTCTACATGTTACTGTTTAAGTGCTTTTATTGTATCACTTATCAGTTAATCAAATTTTATTTAGTCATTGATCAGCAAAACTTTTACTGTATGATAATTTATACAAATTATATAGTGAAACTACTACTGAGATAGATATTGTTCATCAGTGCAGAATATCCAATTTAAATGGAATCCTAAACCTCTCTGTTTTTCATTTTCCAGCTTTTGTATCTTACTAATTTTATGTATTGCTTCTTCAATAATTCTCACATTCCTTTATTAGTCCATCTCCATAAATAGAACACAGGTCAGTATTTATATAACTATATTTATAGGAAAGTAAGAAGTGGGGTTAGCATAATGAAAAATAGGCCTAGCCCGTACTGGTTATAGAAACATACAGCTTGGACCTTGCTTAAGAGTACAACCATGTTCTCAACTGAATTGCCAATTTTCTACCATATATGTAGGGGCCACTTTGGAAATGGCAGAAGACTTCAACGAACAATGGTATTATCCCAAGCTAGCTCCCTAGAGGAGCTGATGCCTTGAAACTTTTCTTTATGAAGAAAATTGTAAGAAATTTGTAGTTTATTCATTTTTGTTTGTTTTATTTTTAATATGATTTCCTTTTCTAGGTGTTAATTTGGAGATACCAGAACCTAAAGAAGGTATCTACCATCAAAGTGAAGACAAAGATGTCTACCATACTGTGGAACAAGACAGCTTTCCCCAGGAAATGGTCAACAGGCCACCTGTTCCTATTCCAAGACCTGATCCCTCCTCCATACATCAAGACAAAGAACCATACATTTATAAAGGTAACTAATGACCAAAAAACTAATAACTTTTTTTGCTAGACAGTGTAGAGTAGTAAATGAAAATGTCAATTTTAACAGATATTAAATAATTATTTCAGAGTTTTTTGCCTCTTTACAAAGTACGAATATAATAAAGTAAAAAATAAATATTAATTTATGCACATGCACCACTTGCATAAATGGAACTTTGCACGTGTACCTGCCACTCATATGCCTAGCCCCCTCACGCCGGGCCACCAAGCTGAAAAGATTGTGGAGCACTGCATTAGTTGAAAGTTCTTACTTTCAGGAAATACTCCTATTGCCTAATTATTGCCTTGTGATTTCCACCCATTACTTCTACTTTTGCCTTAAATAATACCTTTAATTTATACTGTGTTTCCCCAAAAATAAGATCTGGTATTATATTTTTAGGGCTTCAAAATAAGCACTAAGGCTTATTTTTGGGGAAACATGATTTCAGGGTGATTTCAGAGAAACACGATTTCAGCCTGGCTGGGTGCCTCACACACCCCTGGCATGCACACAAAAAGCAGAGAATGTGCAGGGGCCAATGTCCGCCAACAGCTGCAGCCCTCTGGCCCCTTGTTTGGTGCACTCTGCGGCTGCGTAGCCCGCACAGCGCATTTGAGTTGATTACCTGTCCAATAAAATAGACAGTGGCAGAGGTGCAGGGAGTTGGCATGCAGTCCAGACGCGCTGTTTTGGCTGTGGGAAAGAGTCGGTGGGCCTAAGCGGCTGGCCAGCTGCAGGAGGCTTATCTTCATTTTTTGTGTTTCTTGACTTGTGCCTCCCTCGCACACCTTTCTACCCACCTGCTGCTAGTACCACCACACAGTCTTAACTAGGACTTATTTTGGGGACAGGGCTTACATTAGGAGCATGCTAAAAAGATCCAGCTAGGCCTTATTTTGGGGAAAACAATTGTTCTTGTCTAGGAGACAATTAACATAACTAAAGCATAGGTACATTTTTGTTACTGATCTACTATGAGAGCTGAGAAGATTAAATAATTCCAAGTGACAAGTGCAATGCAACCCAACAGAAATAGTGCAAGTCATATCCCTTGATTATATTACATACCTTCTAAGTTCTTCTTGCTTGTCTCACAATCCCTATTTGTGTTTTCTGGCAACCATTTTTGCATGTAGTACATTCCAGCACATTTTAATAGCAGTTTTCAAGAAAACTGTAAGGCATCTATGGAGTTGGCTTTATATTAATTATAGTATATGAAACTAAATAAAATAAAATCTAATATATTAAGTCCTCATAGCAATTGCATAACAACTGTCAAATGTATAATTTTTTGCATAATTTTCTAGTAGATTCCTACAAGATTGGAGATATAACTAAGGTAGTTTAGTTGTAATTTAGTCAATCCCTTACTCACTGTAGCTGCTGCAGCTGTAGGTGCTGCAAAAACCTTTTGGGCAGATGGCTATCCAAATTAACCATCCTATTGTCAGAGTTCTGACGGAAGCCCTAATTAATTCATGGGCCTCAAGCCAAGTTTCAAAAGAAATCCAATTATTTTTTAGGAGCAACATGTCGGCACTTCCCAAGTTCAGTGGCTCTGCCCTACATAATTTACTGCCCACCTATGACCCTGTTTCCCCCCTCCTCCCAGGGTCTGGTCATAAATTTTTGGCTGCTGCCGTACATTACTGGCTCATATTTAATTGGTTGTCCGCTACGACTCCAAGATTCCTCTTACAGTTACTGCTATTAAGCCTGGTTTTATCCAGTCTATATGTGTACTTTTGGTTTTTCTTGCCTAAGTGTAAGGCTTTACTTTTCTCTACATTGAATTTCATTTTGTTAGATAGGGCCCAGTCTTCAAATCTCTCAAGATCCATCTGGATCTTGAGCCTAGGGTGTTAGCTATTTCTGTCAGCTCAGTATCATCTGCAAATTTGGTAATTCCCCTTCTATTCCCTCACCCAAGTCATTTATGAAGATATTGAAGAGTACTGGGCCTAAGACGGAACCTTGTGGTTTAATTTGAAGGGATTTTTAAAAATAAATTCTCTTTGATTCACGGGAAAGATTTGCTCTGTAAAATAGTTCTCTCACAAGTTTGTATTGTGAAAATGGACCTGAATCAGTTATGTCATCTGTCTTTAAAAGTTTGTCTTACAGTGATAAAAATTTCTGTTCTTATAGTCTAGAACTCTACCTTTTAAAATGTATTTAAATTCTGGGTACTCCTCTGAGTTTTGGTCCTATTTGTATTTATATTTCTTTTGATGTTATGTTTAACATGATTTATATTTCAATACTATTTATAACATTTTTCAATTTGTGCTATTTACACAACTTTATATTATGAACTTTTAAAATGTTTTAAATAAATTGTACATGTTCAGTATTTGCAGGAAAAGATCAAGAGAAAGCTGGGAATCTTTATGTTTCTGCAAAAAATATTGGCAAAGGTGAGTCAGGATTACAGAATTTTTGCAGTTTTTTGACAGGTTATTATTATAAGTTTTACTGAGAGTTAATGCTATTCAGCATAGATCAGCGTAGCTGAGCCATGTTGGTTAATGTGGCTAAAACAAGAAATGGCAATGTGATATAAGAGCTTCTACCTTAGAGCAGGGTTGTCAAACTCACGGCGTCACGGTGGTGTCACGTGACAAATCAGGACTTTTTTCCCCTTTGCTAAACCAGGCAAGGTGGGGGGGCCCAGCATGTGGCCCATCCAGCCCATAGGCCATGAGTTTGACATCTCTGCCTTAGAGGAACATAAGTAGCCATGCAAGATATTGATGTGATTCCTCTTCTATCTACAGTGGTGAACTGTCTTAAGAACATTTCTCTTCTCTGTTTTTACATAATCTCAGAAAAGCACACTCTTCTGATTCTTAATCATACTTGACAGGTCTCCAGACATTTATAGAAATACTGCTAAATTTACTACACTTTCATATGTTAAATTGTGTAGTAGTTTTGGGAACTTCAGAAGTTTCATAAATTTGGCTGTGCAGATTTCTTGATATTTATAATTGGTTTTATTGCTTTCTCATACAAGGATTTTTTTGGTCTTCAGTGTAATTTAACTAAATAAATAGATGAGTCTGGAAAAAGTGCATGGCAGACTAAAAAAATCTCTGGAGAAGCAGACACAGCATTGTGGGGATGACTGGTGGACAGACAATTTCTGGGCAGCAGAGCCTCTTCACATAAGGAGAGATTAAAAAATCTTCCACCTATATTTTAAACAGCTACTTTTTATAAGGAGACTGCAGGAATTAAACTTGTACTGCAACACAGGCATTTAAGGATCCTGGGTATGGATCTCCCTTTCTTAACCACATTTGGATATAATCAGTTTATAGAGAGAAATCTTTAAATCAGCAGGAAGAAGAAAAAAACACTTAGTGAATCAGCCTTCCTTACAGATTAAAGACAGAAAAAGAAATAATTTCAAGATTTTTAAATTAATAGTAAAAAGTTTAATTCTATTTGAACAGTTTAAATTTATTTTGGAAAAAGCGCTTTTAATACTATTTGGAAATAATTAGACAAATAGACCATGGCTTCATGGGAGTGCTTATTGTTTAATATGAAAGGGAAAAGGCAATTATTGGATTTTACAAAAATAAAGAAATAAATGTAATATGAGATAGATTGTGTGACTCAATGGAATGCCAATTTGGACTAAAGCCTTAAGGGCACAGAAAAGGCAAAAAAAATGGTCAGGACTTTTGGGGAAGAAATGATGAACTGGAGACAGTGGTGGAATGAAGAGCTGGCAATGAGCCAGCAGTCTCTAGCAGAGTTAGAGGTCAAGGGAGACTTTGCTTAAACTGCCATTGCTGCCTTTCCAAAGGACACTGGGTTCACATACTTCCTTTTCTAATTTGGAAGTTGAGTCATGACAACTGGTTTTCTTTTTTCTTTTGGTTTGAAACATTTTGCTGCTTATCCAAGTAGCTTCTTCAGTCTGAGCAACTTGGACTCTGTATGTGTCTTCCAGTAGTTTCATTTCTCATCTAATCTGAATAAACTTGTTAGGTGAGTAGGCAGAGTAGTGGTTTGATGGGCTTGAAGAAGACAGTTATGTGGTGTTTTCCAAATATTTCTGTTCTTCAAACTTGAATCAGAGGTTTGTCCACCCTAAAGATCGGACACCAGAACGTAAGAGTAATGTATATAGTGTATGCAGTCCAGTTCAGTGAGAGTATGCAGAGCTGTATGTTGGAGAAACTACATTGTCATGCCCCTCGTGGAGACTGACTCTGAGGTAACAGGTACCAAGCCAACAGGTAGTGGAAGTGTGGCTCCAGAGGTGGTGGAGGAGGCTGGAGAACGGCAGAGGTGGCTGAGCAGTCAGAGGAGGACCCAGGCCCATCCCCTATCCATCCTAGGTCACGCAGGGAGGAGAGGATCAGGGAAAAACATAGTCTACTCAGGAGGAGAAGGCCATGATCCTCTTCATGGGTTGCAGGTGTGAGATCTGCATAAGAGTTTGGACCTGCGTGCTAACAAATGCTGGAGACAAATTAGTGTTTTATTCCTAGATGAGGTTTATCTTGGCTGACGTTCTCCCAACGGACTGTACCTGGTTATATTCCTGAAGTGTGTAATTATCCTGGTCTGTCGTGGAACTTTATTTAGTGTGGTTTGTTTTTGGTTTTTGTTTCATTAGCTGCTCTTTGAATTTGAACTGTTTCTTTCATTTGGAATGTTATTTTGAAAATAGTTTAATCTTCAACGGTGAACAATTAAACAGTGAAGCCAAGTTGAAGGCATTAAAGGACTTTTATTTATGTTTTGGTTTTTGTTATATTTTTGATACACTCCAGGTCATCACATAAATAGCCTTTACACAAGAAGATGGCTCAACACAGGAGAAGCAATACCATAGGACAGGGGTGTCAAACCCGCGGTCCATGGGCCAGTGCATCACATGCTGGCCACACCCACCCCCAGTTTAGCAAACGGGGAAAATGTCACGCTACAGCATGTGACAACAATGTGATGCTACAAGTTTGACACCCCTGCCATAGGACTAGAATCAGCACTGTACCTTCATTTAAAAGAAAGGAGACACTCTTTTGAATACCATAATGTTCACATTTTGGGCAGGGAAGATAGATAGTTTGAGAGAGGAGTGAAGGAATCCATTTATGCCAAAGTGGAAAATCTTTCTCTCAACAGAAATAGAGGTCTCAGACACAATCTGTGCCTCATTTTTTATGCTGCTCTTACATCAGGCCCGAGGAAAATCAAGACTACTTTGCAGGTTCACTAAGGAGTCCATACCAAACGACCCCTTAGGAGAAATGAGCAACAAGTCTCTCCTACTCACCTAACGAGCCTATTTAGATTAGGTAAGAAATGAAACTACCCTGGAGAACATATATGGGATCCCTCTCACCAACTTGCTCAGACTGAAGAAGATCTACCTTGATGAGCAACAAAACATTTCAAACAAGAAAAAAAAAGAAGTCCAGTTGCCCTGACTCAACTTCCAGAGAACTCTACCTGGATGACTGAGAATCGTCATCGACATATTCCTTTTATAATCACTTTCAGAAATTGCTTGTTAACTGCTTTTCAGCTATTAGGAACATTTGGATCAACACATTTTACAGCACAGGGTGAGTTTCTTTCAATCTTTAGTGAAAGAAGTTTAAGTACTAGTTTAAGAACTTTTAAAAATATTTTGGAATAAACAGCAACAAGATGATTAGAATTTTGATTTGGAAATTTTCAAACTGACTAAGGGTCCAAATGGATTTAAAATAAGATTTTAAAATAAATTATCAAAATCCTTCTTATATGAAAGTGCTTTTGTTTTGCTAGGCTAGAACTTTGAAGGTTGACAACTCTAAGGAATCAAAAGGAACTAAAGATTACAATTAAAGGATAAGAATGGAATAAGGAGTAAGTTTTATTGGAGAAGATTGAGACATTGGAAAATGGATTTAAAAATGAAAGGCTACAAAAGAATAATATGAAAAAAGATGTTACACTGGGTATACAAATGAAGGCTTATTATGATATCTTAATAATTAAAAAGGATATGCATATAACAAACCAAAAGAGTGACCTGGGTAACTTCCCTACATTGGATTTACAAAAGAGATTTTTTTAAACTTTGAAGAATTTTGTGAGAAGGAACAAAGAAAAAAAATGAAAAGAAGTTCTAGGACATTATTTGAAGAGATTAAAGATCAAAATTGTTAAAATGAAGGAATAAAAAGTTAATGTATTTGATCAATGGTGTTATTTTGGGTAACCCTTAATGGATGCTGATCAAGACTGAATGATGAGGTCTTAAGGATTTTGTAGATAAGATATAGGATATGAGAAGAGATTATTTGTTGTATTACAAAAGAAGATAAAAAGTTCATAGATTGTTTATACCTGTGGTATTGAAGAGAGAAGTCATTCATACATATATTCAGATATATATTCGTATGTATGTATGTATGGTATTCAGCTTTGTTCGGGTATTTTCCCAGGTCCTTATAGTTGTGCTTTTAAAGTTGTAACAACATTTTGGCAGAATCTCATCTGTCATCATCAGGCTTATGTATTGGGTTCGTCTGTGTGTCAGGCTTTCACAGCCATTTCTGTTTTAAATTTGGTGCCAGCCTCGTGCTTTGTTAGAATGTTTTTTTCTTCATCCTGATTGGTTGGGAGTCTTGGTCTGTGTTTATTGGTCTTGGAGTTTGCTGTGTTCTGCTTGATTGGTGTTTCTAATATCTTCTGTCTGTTTTGTAGTGGGTTTTTTTTGTCTTGATTAGCTGGCAACATTGTGTTCGTGTATTGGGGGCTTTTAGCATGGGTTGGCTTCAGGTGAATGGCTGGCTATCGTTTATTAGGAAACTAGGTTTCATCTGGGTGGCTGGCTGGGGTGTGTTTGGGCTGGAGGTATTGGGGGGTGGTCGGTTTGTGCCCAGGTGTTTGTTTAGCTTGTGGTGTAGAGATTTTTTTGTTTGTGAGTGCAGGCTTCCAGATAATTGACAGTCTGGTGGAGTTATCTCTTCTATTCATGCTTTCAGGTTGTTTTTCAATCTCTATGGCTTCTCTGATAATTCTGTAGCTGGGGTTTTCTATAGTGGCTAGGGTTTTGGTGCCATTGAAGTCGATGCTATGACCTATGACATTCATGTATTGGACTAATGAGGAAGTGTGTTCCAGTTTTTTTACTACATTTTTGTGTTCATCCAGGCGGGTATTTATTCTTCTATTGGGCTGTCTGATGTATGTGGCAGGGCATGATGTGCAGGGGATTTCATATATGCCTTGGTTTTCCAGGTCAATTTTATCTTTGGGGTTCCTTAGGATGGCTGCTATGTTTCTGTCTGTTTTGAAGGCCACCTTGATGTGATTCCTGTGTAGTATCTTACTGATTTTGTCTGTTGTACCTCTTATGTCGGGCAGGATAGCTGTTCCATAGGTCTGTTCATCTTCTAGG